CAGCAGCCTCTTCGGGGGCTCCAAGAATCCCATTGTGATCCCTAAATACCTATGGGCTCGGAGGTACCCGCTTTGCAGTCACCCTTCAAAAGTGACATGAGCTTGCTGAAAGCACATGTGGCTCAAACCCAGACCGCAAACCTTGGGTTCAGCCCGCCATACACTACTGGGACATTCTTGGGTGCATTTTTTTGAAGAGTTAAAGGTAAGAATTGATTTTCTGGGGCCCTTAGATCTAGCGCGTGCGAACTGTCTGCTTAAACAACACTTGTGGGTATAGTAAGGCTTCGTACAGGGCGTATTCTGGATCGTTGCTGCATCGGGGCGTTACCCAAATCCTTAGCCAAAACCCGGGTGCGGCTGCAGGACTTTCTCTGAGTTCAGCTGAAGACAATCGAACAGGCGTGCATCACTGCATGGTTTCATGGGTGTACGTGTGTGGGGATTCTGCCAAACTCAAGGTTTTGCAGGCTTTTTGCAAAGAAGATTATGAAGATTCCCAGATGGTAGGTGGCGCATGGTAAAAGATACTACTAAACAGCCAATAGTGGTGAGAAGCATTCACGTAGTTAGTCACCCTATAATTCGAAATGCCCGGTGTCTCTGAGAGGAATTGCCACCTTATACACTGTTTACCCAAGGAAGTACAGTCAGTGCTTTGGGAATCTTAAGTTGTGGTTATAGTAGTTTCAATTTTCTTGTCCATTATCCAATATAACCACTATATAACCCCAATATCACAACCCCCATCATCCCCTATATAGTCCCAGTTTCCATTTCATGTGTTTTGGGAATCCACAGTTGTGGCCCATGCAATTCCATGGCACACTAGCAAGGCCCTCACTCCCCAATGTTTAGGGTTTAGGGGTTTAGGGCTCAGGGTTCAGACTTACTTGGGTTTGGGGTTGGGGGTTTAGGGTTCAGGGTGGAGATCGTGTTGAGGGGGACCGTTGTGGAGGGGGGGGGAGCGGAGGTTGCCTGTGGTTTGATCTGCTGACGAAAGACGCGCGATGCCTTCCCCTCCCCCTAATGGTTTACCCCCCACCCCGTCATACTACTATATAGCGGATATGATTACTTTTCAGTAGAGGGTGGAGGGGTTAATCAATAGGGGAGGGAATTAAGAAAGCCCGCTCATCGACATTTCTGTCAGCAACGGGAGTCATGAGAAGCGCAACAATACCAGCCCTACGTCCTCAACTTGAATCCCAACACCCTCTCTTAAACCCTCAAGCAACAAGAGCATCAGTAGGGTCTGTCCGTCTGCACGTGTTGGGGTCTAGGGTTCAACTTGGACATGGCATGGCCCCGAACCCCCAAACCCTACCATGCTGTCTGCTACTGTGCCGGCTCAGAGATTTGTATGTGCTTGTGGTCCAGCAACCCCTCTGGACATGATGAAGCTTGGTAGCGCGGAGGGGTTCGGGTTTTGGGGTTTGGGGTTCAGTGTTTGGACTTTGGGGGTTTTAAAAGCCGTTTTTGGTCTACTGTTTTTTCCACATGGCCTTTCTGTGTGTGCACCTCTTGCACAAGTCCGAGCTTTCTTGCCAACGTGACTGATTATGATTATGAAAGCTGCTACTATCAGGAAGAAGGCGTCACAGGTTTCAAGGCCCTAGGCAATCTTCACCTGCCCTGAAGTCAATGTCCGAATTTGCTTTGCCATTTTGAACTCAACAGCTTAGGACAATGGTTCGAGCATGGGTGTCCGTGTTGGCTTGGGCCATCGTATCAGATCGGCTCCAAACCGTGCTGGCAAATGACTCTTGGGAATGTATTGGGTCATCGGTTAGAGGACTAGCACACTTCGGCAATATGGCCCTTTCAAGCTTTCGGATCAATTGAGCCCTTTGACTGTGGGGCTATGAAATTGCATGGTGTTCAGAGCTCGTGTATCTGCCACTCGAAGGGTCCAATCAGCTCCTAGTTCTTATGGGTGTCAGGGGACGGGACATGGATGGGTACAGTTAAGATGGAATTCCCTTTCGCCCCGGGAGCCTTGTTGGTGCGACGATGATCCGGGGGAATGTCAGACACCACCCAAGTTGTTTGAGGTCAGTCACCTCAAATTGCGAAGCGTCGTCCGTGAGTTTTAGTGGATGGTGAGGTAGGGTGCTAGTTTTCTGACAACTGCATCGGGCCTAGGCTAGTTTACGTTGGTCTTTCAGACCCTAATTGATATTTGGTTTCTAGAGCTTCGCAGGTCCTAAATGAACATCCAAGAGGTAGTATCTTGTTGTTATGGCATAGGTGGGTGCTATAGGCTTGAGTAAGGAGGATGCACATAGGATGCCCATTGTGGAGGACCACGGCGGAACCATTGAACAAGATTCATGCGGATTAGATTTCCTTAAACCTGCTCAAAGAAAATCAATTTGCAAGGATGTGAGGTAGTCCAGCGAGTTGCCAGAGCCTAAGAAAATCCAAGGGGGTTCAAGAATGCGTTATTTTTTCCTGCCTAGGGCCTGCCGGAGCCAAACGCCCTCAATCTTCAACACTCCGCCTTTGATCCTCATGGATGCTGCTAAAAAGCCGATGCCAAACAAACACGTCCATCACAGGATTGCTCGGATGAGTTCGATGCCGGCTATTGCTTCTATGACACTCCAACAGGCAATGATGGTCCGGAGAACTGTTATCAGTGCCAGTCCTCCGCCATTCCGGCTACAAGCTCAGCTCCATGTTCGCAAGTTGTTTTGGACAATATGATAGTTGACATACACACGGGGAAGCAGATAGATATAGACCCCAAGATATTACAGTCCGTATTATGGGAGAAACGAAGGTACCCCTAGTTTTGGGAAACTACCAATGTTGAGTAAGCAGTGCTTGTGAGTGAAGTTAAGAGACGCTTTCTTGACTGCTGGCACGCGGATTAGGGTTTAGGATTTCGGTGTGTTTACCTCTCACTGTTTCTGTCAACCTGAGTTTGCGCAGCTCCGTTTCGGAAAGTGCACTAAAGGAAAGTCACGTTGAGGTAGGTGGTTTCAGCCACGCCCTCCGACAGCTCTAAGAGTATGAACCCATGCATTGTAATGCCCTATCCGTAAACATTTTTTCCGTGCATGAATGAAAGACATGTAAACAAGAATATATCTATACCCGCAAGCCTTAACAGGACCGTCGTCAGATTTTTGCGGTTGTAGAGTTTAGAGGTTTATGGGTTTCATGATTTGGGGTTTATTGCTTGGGCCTGGCATTCAGTAGGATTCGCTTAAAATTGGGGTTTGGGATCTCAGACTGCAGATTTTTGGATTGCGGGCCTCAGGGTTTAGTGTTTTGTTTAGGGGCCGAGGGGCTTGGGTCTTGGTTCAAGATTTTGTGTTTAGGGTTTAGGGTTTAGGGTTTAGGGTATTCCACGTGTCCGAGAACCCCTTCTCATTTAGCATTGATACCAATTCTTCTGCTCTCGTTTGCCACCTGAACACGGACGCCCTCCTACCTAATTATGGTTGACGGACAACATCCTGTAAAGTACCACAACCTAGGCCCCAAACCCTCCACCATGCACCCTTCACCTGCTGCGAGAAACTATGTAGACCTCAATGGAAGACCCTTATCCCATGTATCCTACCTATCGGGTCCCGCAGCTGCAACTTGTAGAAACTTGAAACCCCAAACCGTGCCGAAGCCAAGGGTGGCCTTAGCACAGGGCAGCTCGTTTGCCAAGGTGGGAGTTCATCAAAGGGCTTTGGGGGGATTCGGGTTCAATTAGGGTTCGTAACCCCTTACCATCTCTGCATATCCCCACTCGGAGGCCCATGGGTAGTTTCAAATATAGATAAGCCCGTAGATAAACCCTAACCCCGAAACCCTAAACCCTAAACATTAGTTCTGGCTTAGAGTAGGGTGCCGCCCAAAGTTTCTGAAATACAGAAGGGATTGTCATGCGCTAGTCGCTACTCCTTCAAGACTCATCGCTAAACCCGAAACTCTGAACTCAGACCTGAACCCAAAACTGGAGGCTCCCGTAGGTAACCTGATTCTGGGATCTGTGGCAGTGTCCATAAATACAGGGAACTTAATAACATAGACCCCAACATATTGAACCCTAAACCTTATAGTCCTTGTCATAGACAGCCCCCCCCCAGGTGGTACCCCTAATTTCCAGGTCAACCCCAGAGCGACACTTCGGGATCCGGGTTGCTTGGGCTGCAAGCTGACTCTTTAGTGCTTGTTTAGGGTTAAGTAGGGTTTAGGGTTTAGGGTTAAGTAGGGTTTAGGGTTTAGGGTTGAGCCGAGGTTTGGGGCTCCAGAGCTTGTTATGGGTTGGGGTTTAGGGTCTGCCCTCTCAGATGGACGTTTCCAGGACCATATCAAGGATTTTTGGGGCTTAGGGTTTCATCCATGATGATCCCCACATCCTCAGATTCAGCTTAATGGGAAAAGCAGCCGAGGAACACCTGCTTTGGTCCGGGAGACTACACCTTCAATGATCCTGGGGATTCTTGGTGGATTGAAAGGTTTTTTGCACGAGATTGAATAGGATTCTGTAGCCTCATCGCCAGCACCGATCCCAACTTTATCCTCCTTGCAGGGGCATCTTAGACGAAGGACGCCTTAGAGGAGTGCGTTGGGACTTAAGACACGCGCGAGTCAGACGAAAGAGAAAGCACAACCCAAGTGCAGAAGTTTCCATTTCGTGTTCAATGTTTTTTCCATTTGATTCTCCATGATTGGGGTATTATCCCTAAATTGGATTAACAGTATCCCTAAATTCCCAGGTGGAGGTGCTACCTTCGAAGTCGAACCTTGCTACTCTTCCTAGTGGTTGGTAGGAGTTACGGGAATATACCCCCTATTATAAGAATCCCAATGTGACATATTCCCTTATTCCCTACTAACCCCCATTATAGTATATTATACTATACCATATTCTGGTATATTATACTATATTTCAATATGTTCTACTATATTATAGACTGCAGCCCAGTGGGTCACACTTCTGAGTGAATTGGAAAAGCTCACGACCGCCACGCGAAGACGAAAGGTTGGACATCTTGCTGTATGCAACGTTGAGCGCAAGTCGAAGCCTGTAATGTAGGGGCCTAAATGGGTGGTTGTCAAGGGTGGTTGTCAAAATTATGGTGCCCATTAGGGTAATATTAGGGTTATATTGGGGTTATAGGGGGGATAATGGAAAAGAAAATGGAAACTACTATAATGGGTTCTATGGGTGGTTGTCAAATGTATGGCCCCTTTTTGGATCCCTATTATAATACGGCACCTACCTGGGCCTTCCTTTGGCATGGAAAAATGTGTTCGAGGCCCTTTGCTATACTTTTAGGGGTTTGGGTTGATTTGCTTGTTTCTTACGAGCGCTTCTTCAGAAATCGAGCGCTTTCCATGTTTTAGAGGGTATCATCTGGGGGAAGTTGATGGGGTTTGCTATGCCTGTTTCTTAATTGAGCCGTCTCGGCTCCATCTTCCCTTCAATCGGTACGATCTCCTCCTATGATTGCAAGAAGTGCGCCCAACCCAATGGATGTTTGTGCGTGCAGCAGGATCTCATCAATCAAGTAGGCCCCACCTTCTCCTCAGCTGGCAGGTACTGGGATCTGGCTTCTTTTGGCGATTCCATTCTGGTCGGCCTTGCATGTTTTATATAAAGCTACGTTCCTGATGCTGCGAATTGAGCTTGCCTCATGCACTAGCTGCGAAATGCATGATCAATTTCGAAGCTGTCTTGCTGTGGGGCACATTATTCAACTCTACATCTTCATCAATCTCTATAGGCAAAACGGAGGGATGTGCTTGCATGGGTTTGACAGTAACATACTATATAGGGTAGCAGCTACGCTTGACCATGTCTTCTACAACGTCGGAGTGCCCTGTTCTCCGGGCGTGGTCTGAAAGCGAGATCATTGTTGGGCGACTCCTCAAGAAGAACTTGATCATCCATGGAAAGACTTTGAACAGGGATGCATGTGTTGAAAATGCTGATCTGCTAGTCCCCCTGATCAACTTGGTTGGTGCCTGGGACATGCAATACTGCAGCATTATGCATGATCCTGGATGGAACTTGCTTAAACTGTAATGTACAAGGGCCCATATAATCAACTTAGGTCTTCGCCCATCCGTGAATCTCGTGGCTGAATATCTTCATCGTCTATATGCGAACTGCCGACCCATGAACAAGGCCATCCCTTCAGGTTCCTCGATGATCAGATCGATGGTATGACATGTAAGTTTGGCCTCCAATACTTAAATAACATGTAACCTGGGTTCTAGTATACTTATAGGGGTTTTATAATCTAGGGGATATAGGGCTCTTAACCCATATTAAAATTTAGGCACCTGGAGGCCTATAGTGTGTTATAAACAGAAACCAGCTATCATCAGACTGTAGAGCCCTCTACGTTTAAAGATTAAGCCACTCCTACCATTGCTTGATCCCAGGTGATGACATCAAAACACAGGGATGGATGTTGCGGCGTTTGATATCAATATTCAGCCGTGCAGCATAGAGACCGCGTTCGTCGCGGTGTGCCCGGTTCAGGTCCATGATGGTTCAGGTTGGGATGAAGGTCCACGACAGTCGTCCTTGGTTGCAACTGTTATAGCTCCATTTTGTGGCCAGCATGGTGCTTAATTGTGCATATGTATGCGTGGATCTCCTAAGTGATCCTCTTGCAACTGATGATGAAGAGTCTGCCTCGAGCGAATCATATGAAAGTGAGACGGAAATCGAGGATGACCCGAGTGAGGCTGCTGATGTGGTGGCTCACCTAAACTAGCTTAAGAGTAGTTGGCTCCATATAGGTTTATAAAATTATATGACCCCTATATGACCCCCTATTAAGACCCATATTTTGAGAAGTGCATTTGAGCTTGTCTATATGCAGGATGCCAATTCTAGCTACCATCTAGACTGCCAAGGCAAGGGAGACAACTTCAATGCCCGACCCTGGTGAAACCATCCCTGGCCCTGTGCCACTGTCAGCTGCCCCAGTGGGTGGTGATGCTGCCCCAGCGGGTGGTGATGCTGCCCCAGCGGGCAGTGCTGGTTGCGAGGCTAAATTTATAATGTTAGTATTACCTCCAATTCCCTTTCACTCTATAGATCCCCACTTTCAAGCCTAGGTTCAGTGGCAAGATTGCCTTCGCTTCCACATGTGACGCCGCCTCGAGTTGACAAAGGTTGGGCTGAGCATACATGTCATGCTCTTGCAATTTCTTAAGGGGGTTTTGTAGTGTGTAACAGGAGAACCGTTATCCCCTATGTCTATGGCCAAGACGCGTGGTGAGCACTACAGGGTCAAAGATGCTGATCGCTTTGGTGGGTATGTTTGCTTGATCTGTGACACTGGGGGTGATATTGCATGGATTCGCAGTCGTCCCTGCACACCATCCCCAAGTACAACATGCCCATCTGTGTCTAGCCCTCCTACGAGTGAGTCTCCAATTCCAGGGTGTGGCGATGTTCAGTCCAAACTGGACTTAGACCGCAAGATGGTTCTGATGGAGCTGGAGCAGATGGCCCGCTGGTGTGGTTCAATA